CTGCTCTAGCGCTCTCTTGATTGCCTGACAAAATGGTGAGTTTAGATTGCGTGATGTCAACCTCTGGAGCTCTATTGAATGCGCTGAGGGCCCAACTTCCTTTGGCAGTCTCGAAATATGAAGCTTTGAAAGCCATGCATCATGACATCTGCAGTGATTACAAACGATTTATTAAAGGGGTCCTATTATGCTTTTTCACTTTTTCAACTTTAGTTAGTCTGTAGGCTAATGTTGCTGTTTGAGCATAAAAATCACTTTTCAAAATCTACAACGAACGACTCGTTTGGACTACAACGCATATTTTCCGGGATTTGTGAAATCACAAATACCGACGAAAGGGACGAGACCTGGCTGAGCTGCACTAGAGAAGGCAACGAGTGTTATCACTATGTCGGAGACACGCTAGCTTTCCCAAGGCAGACGAACTTAGAGTGGTTACAATCATCTGCGTTTAAATCGCACTCAAATTGATTTGATATTGACGCAATATTTACACTGAAGCTGGCAGGCAGCTATGGTAAGGGGCATGACCATAGACTGTATAAAAACATGGACGTAGTGTATTTATGAAGCTCAAAGTGGGCGGAGCCGGCCGTCGCCATCTTGGCAGCGCGTCACCGCACGTCACTCCCGGATAATCGAAAATGGGCAAATAGGGGGGAGCTGGTTGCTGATACCACGCCCACCTAGCTCGACGGTGGTGACAGCAGCGGCAATCCACCTGTCACTCAAGTGGCCACGCTCTTAATTATGCAGAACTTTAAGGCTTAATATAATTTAAACGGATGAGTTATAAAAAAATCACCCCCCTCACAGTTGTCATGAAGGGCAAAATTAGCTATATAGACCAAAACCACTTTTTGTACCAGGCTGCAAACATATTTTTTTTCTGCTGTTAAATTGGGCATTTTAACATGGGGAGTCTATGGGACTGACTCCATTTGGAGCCAGCCTCTAGCGGCCAATCGATGAATTGCAGTTTTAGTCACTTCCGTGTTGGTTTCACGAGAGAGGTTGGTGCTTGGGCATGGCATTTCCCGACCAGGCGCCGAGTGCTGCCAATCACAACACACACTGGCCCAGCTAACCAATCACGGCACATTTCGTATTTCAGAAGGCGGGCCTTCATTTGATACAGGAACTATTCGAGCCGTTCATGCCAGACTGGGGAGAGAGGTGTTGTAATAATGTAAAATATGTGAAAAATAATGTGTTTTTTGAACAACCTAGTATGAGAGCCTGTTCTAGTACACCCCCAAAACAAAATCAAGACTTTGTAAAAAAGCATAATAGGACCCCTTTAATTAATGGTCCAAAAAGAATGTCTCTATTACAAACAACAGAACAACAGTTAATAATAACAAAAAATGGGAATGCTTAAAAGTGCATATATGCCATATATGTAATCAAATAACATTTCAGTCAAAAATGCATATTTTACATTTTATATATTTAAGCCTTTATTTTTTTTAATTGAAGAGTTGTCAATAATAGCAATAGACTAAACATTCACATTGAATAATCTTCTCAGGTTATGATGGATAACATATGTTTGCAATGGATATCTAATTCATATACAAATTAAATAAAAACTACAACAATTATAATGTTAATTGAACTAAATAATAAAAACATGCTCCAATTCATAGGGTTGCATCTTACTTCAAGGGTCTTCACTTTATTATATTATTAATAATAATAATAATAAACAAATTGATTTTTTACTAAATAAAATAAATTAACAGACCATTTTATTCCGTCTTGTTCTGTTCGGGTATAATAAATTACAATCAATGCATACAATTATTAAATTAGCATTTCAGTACAAACAAACAAAGTATCAAGTAAAGAAAGAAATAATTATAAAAAGTAGAGCGTAAGAACTTCTTTCTCAAAAAGCGGTGGCAGGTGTTTCTGGCTGATATCGCCGTCCTCGGTCACATGACCTGCAGCAAGTCACGTGATTGGCGCTCCATTTTCGCCATTTTGATGCCAGAGAGAAGCACTTTTGCACCCCAGGAATAAAATAAAGCAGCGCATCACGAGCTCCCAGGCCAAAGATCAGACACAACTGCAGCATCAGTAAGTAGTGTTCGGATGGTTGTGACAGTCGCATGGCTCTGGGCTGTTTATTAAACGGCACAGTTGTATTTTACAGCTCATGTTGAACTGTAAAGCGTGCATGTGTGTGCTGTGTGCTGCTGTTGTCAGAAACGTCCTGCCCCTTTCTCACGTTTCGTCTCCACGGATATCACGGACACCATGTTCTCAAACACACACAACCTGCTAAACCTCAGCTCAACTATCTCACACCGATCATCCGAGATTGATTTGCACGTGCTGTGTATCTGTCATTAGGTCTGTGTCTTTAAACATCCGTCATAACTTCATATTCTGTCGCGCACCGAGACATAGAGTGTTTATTATTAACCCCTTCACCATTCGTGTTTTTTTGTTTCTTGGTTGATTTTTGACTTGGCTACTTGTTGCTTTTTAACAAACTTATAATGTAGTACATTTTGAATATTTTAGTGTTACAACATATTGGCCTATATGATCTTACAGGGAAAGTACAATCCAAATGATAAATCGGTCATCATTTGATCGCCCTCGTGTTGAAAACCTGTATGAATTTCTTTATTAATTAGTTCACTCTCTCACACAATCACACATACAACTACATTGAAAAGAAAGAAGAAAAAAGTTAAGTGTGTGAGTGAAATAATTTTTTTATTTTGGACCCAATTGATTTATATTGTACAGACAAATAAAAAAAAATGGGCAAACAACTACCCTAACTGTTTCATTTGGAAAATGAAAAAGCACACAGAGCTTTCCTTGGAATCAGTTACAGTAGTATAATTGCATGCATTTCCATGTGCTCATGCTCCACGTGTTTTTGTTTTGATTCAGTGTAGTACTCTATAACTTCCTTTTTAACTGTAGGTCAAAAATGCAGAAGTGCTGTGAGCAAATGTTTTAAGAAAGTGAAAGATCAACTCATGAGTCAGACCTATTAGATGTGATTCAGTCATTTTAAAATATCCCTGAAGGGTGTTACAGTCATTCATTATTGAACAGTAATACCTGACAGAGTGATCTGGGTTCCCAGGTGCAATTTATTTTTATTTATTGTTTTATGATTAGAGCTAAAATGTGCTAACTGATAACATGAATGCATATTTGTCATATTAAACAGACGTATGAGCTGGGGGTAATACTTGGAACGCTATTGGTCATTAAATGTTTCTCTAAAAACAAAAATACTATTAATTTAGAATGCATTCAACTCTGACAAAGTGCTGTGCTGATGAATATTAATCATGTTGCCTGCATGCGCTCAAACTGATTTGCTAAACTGGTCATAGGACATCATGCGGTGAAAATTGCCAATGGCTAACAATAGACATTATTTAGTTGCTTAGCGCAAGACTTTGTTGCATATGAGCAGTGTCGGGGGTAACGCATTACAAGTATCGCGAGTTATATAATCAGATTACTTTTACCAAGTAACTAGTAAATGCATTGCTTTTATGCTTTACTAGTAATCCATTACTTTTTAATTTACAACAAATTATCTTGAGTTACTGTTTCAAGTAAGTAACACAAGTTACTTTGTTTACCCATGCATTGACTGACAGCTCTCCTGTCCCCATGTTGAGAGAATCCAGGAGTAAGCGCAGAGGCGTTGTGTGCGCTGTGTAAACATAATGTTACTGTAATTCTAGACCAGTGTACGAATTGTGTCAAAGTTCTTGGGTGCCCACCCTCCCCCACCCTTCAAAAATACATAAATGTTATTTCTTATCGTTGATGAAACCTAATGACTGTTTGTCGGTTCCAAGATAAAAGCTTTGTCAATATCAGTTAATTAGGTGTACCAAACAATTATTAAGCAAAGAAAAATTGAATATCTTACCCATAGGCAGAGAGCGAACCAACTGCAGGGTAAGGCTAAAGTAGCATAATGTTAGTGTATCCTAATCTATTAACTACACACATCATAATCTCGTCTGTTTAGACAACAATACCACATATGGTGTCATAAAATATATTTAAATACGACTGAATTTGTATTTAAAGTTATCACAATTTAATAAAAACATTCTAAGTTGCTAATTATAATGCTTTTATTTTCAGTTATTCAAATAGCGAGTAAATTATGGAGAAATCGAGCAAAGAACATTTACATTAAAGGTCACTTTAATGTAACTTCAGGACTTCAGGCTAGCCAGAGTTTAAGGACTTAAATCTCCTGTTATAATCAATGAAGCTGTCCATACACTTTATGATAAATTAATCTCTTACTTACATCGTACGTACATCTGCACTTTGTTGCTTATGATGAGAGAATTTGCGAGCTTCAGTCAGAATTCATTGAGTGCGCGCACTGAACAAAACTCCGGTGTTTCAGCGATGATTCATCTGAACGCTTCTGATTGGCCACTGCATTCATAAACAGTGATTAGTTATAAAAGTGATTAGTTATAATGCTGTAAAACATATAAAAAGAAATATGATGTAATGTGAGAAGGTCTAGGCTAATTTTATACAGCAGTTGACACTTTTATTTTAATTTCCATTTTCACTAGTTTCATGTTTCAAGTATTATAGTTTTATTGAAAAACCAGGGGGCCCAAAAAGTTGGGCTGGGAACCCCCCCCCCCCCAATCAGACCTCACCAACGGTTGTTAACTTCAAGGGTCTTCACTTTATTATATTATTAATAATAATAATAATAAACAAATTGATTTTTTACTAAATAAAATAAATTAACAGACCATTTTATTCCGTCTTGTTCTGTTCGGGTATAATAAATTACAATCAATGCATACAATTATTAAATTAGCATTTCAGTACAAACAAACAAAGTATCAAGTAAAGAAAGAAATAATTATAAAAAGTAGAGCGTAAGAACTTCTTTCTCAAAAAGCGGTGGCAGGTGTTTCTGGCTGATATCGCCGTCCTCGGTCACATGACCTGCAGCAAGTCACGTGATTGGCGCTCCATTTTCGCCATTTTGATGCCAGAGAGAAGCACTTTTGCACCCCAGGAATAAAATAAAGCAGCGCATCACGAGCTCCCAGGCCAAAGATCAGACACAACTGCAGCATCAGTAAGTAGTGTTCGGATGGTTGTGACAGTCGCATGGCTCTGGGCTGTTTATTAAACGGCACAGTTGTATTTTACAGCTCATGTTGAACTGTAAAGCGTGCATGTGTGTGCTGTGTGCTGCTGTTGTCAGAAACGTCCTGCCCCTTTCTCACGTTTCGTCTCCACGGATATCACGGACACCATGTTCTCAAACACACACAACCTGCTAAACCTCAGCTCAACTATCTCACACCGATCATCCGAGATTGATTTGCACGTGCTGTGTATCTGTCATTAGGTCTGTGTCTTTAAACATCCGTCATAACTTCATATTCTGTCGCGCACCGAGACATAGAGTGTTTATTATTAACCCCTTCACCATTCGTGTTTTTTTGTTTCTTGGTTGATTTTTGACTTGGCTACTTGTTGCTTTTTAACAAACTTATAATGTAGTACATTTTGAATATTTTAGTGTTACAACATATTGGCCTATATGATCTTACAGGGAAAGTACAATCCAAATGATAAATCGGTCATCATTTGATCGCCCTCGTGTTGAAAACCTGTATGGATTTCTTTATTAATTAGTTCACTCTCTCACACAATCACACATACAACTACATTGAAAAGAAAGAAGAAAAAAGTGAAGTGTGTGAGTGAAATTATTTTTTTATTTTGGACCCAATTGATTTATATTGTACAGACAAATAAAAAAAAATGGGCAAACAACTACCCTAACTGTTTCATTTGGAAAATGAAAAAGCACACAGAGCTTTCCTTGGAATCAGTTACAGTAGTATAATTGCATGCATTTCCATGTGCTCATGCTCCACGTGTTTTTGTTTTGATTCAGTGTAGTACTCTATAACTTCCTTTTTAACTGTAGGTCAAAAATGCAGAAGTGCTGTGAGCAAATGTTTTAAGAAAGTGAAAGATCAACTCATGAGTCAGACCTATTAGATGTGATTCAGTCATTTTAAAATATCCCTGAAGGGTGTTACAGTCATTCATTATTGAACAGTAATACCTGACAGAGTGATCTGGGTTCCCAGGTGCAATTTATTTTTATTTATTGTTTTATGATTAGAGCTAAAATGTGCTAACTGATAACATGAATGCATATTTGTCATATTAAACAGACGTATGAGCTGGGGGTAATACTTGGAACGCTATTGGTCATTAAATGTTTCTCTAAAAACAAAAATACTATTAATTTAGAATGCATTCAACTCTGACAAAGTGCTGTGCTGATGAATATTAATCATGTTGCCTGCATGCGCTCAAACTGATTTGCTAAACTGGTCATAGGACATCATGCGGTGAAAATTGCCAATGGCTAACAATAGACATTATTTAGTTGCTTAGCGCAAGACTTTGTTGCATATGAGCAGTGTCGGGGGTAACGCATTACAAGTATCGCGAGTTATATAATCAGATTACTTTTACCAAGTAACTAGTAAATGCATTGCTTTTATGCTTTACTAGTAATCCATTACTTTTTAATTTACAACAAATTATCTTGAGTTACTGTTTCAAGTAAGTAACACAAGTTACTTTGTTTACCCATGCATTGACTGACAGCTCTCCTGTCCCCATGTTGAGAGAATCCAGGAGTAAGCGCAGAGGCGTTGTGTGCGCTGTGTAAACATAATGTTACTGTAATTCTAGACCAGTGTACGAATTGTGTCAAAGTTCTTGGGTGCCCACCCTCCCCCACCCTTCAAAAATACATAAATGTTATTTCTTATCGTTGATGAAACCTAATGACTGTTTGTCGGTTCCAAGATAAAAGCTTTGTCAATATCAGTTAATTAGGTGTACCAAACAATTATTAAGCAAAGAAAAATTGAATATCTTACCCATAGGCAGAGAGCGAACCAACTGCAGGGTAAGGCTAAAGTAGCATAATGTTAGTGTATCCTAATCTATTAACTACACACATCATAATCTCGTCTGTTTAGACAACAATACCACATATGGTGTCATAAAATATATTTAAATACGACTGAATTTGTATTTAAAGTTATCACAATTTAATAAAAACATTCTAAGTTGCTAATTATAATGCTTTTATTTTCAGTTATTCAAATAGCGAGTAAATTATGGAGAAATCGAGCAAAGAACATTTACATTAAAGGTCACTTTAATGTAACTTCAGGACTTCAGGCTAGCCAGAGTTTAAGGACTTAAATCTCCTGTTATAATCAATGAAGCTGTCCATACACTTTATGATAAATTAATCTCTTACTTACATCGTACGTACATCTGCACTTTGTTGCTTATGATGAGAGAATTTGCGAGCTTCAGTCAGAATTCATTGAGTGCGCGCACTGAACAAAACTCCGGTGTTTCAGCGATGATTCATCTGAACGCTTCTGATTGGCCACTGCATTCATAAACAGTGATTAGTTATAAAAGTGATTAGTTATAATGCTGTAAAACATATAAAAAGAAATATGATGTAATGTGAGAAGGTCTAGGCTAATTTTATACAGCAGTTGACACTTTTATTTTAATTTCCATTTTCACTAGTTTCATGTTTCAAGTATTATAGTTTTATTGAAAAACCAGGGGGCCCAAAAAGTTGGGCTGGGAACCCCCCCCCCCCCAATCC